TCCAGTTTCCAGTTGAAAGGTTTTACCTTCGTTTTCGGGGGTGGTTAGCTGTGGATAACATTTGTTATGGCTCTACTTGGATTTCTGTGTTGGGACTCAGTCTATCACAATCAAAGGCCGGTTTGGGTTTAGTCGGCTCAGCTTTAAGCAGCCGATGAATGTCAAACAGCTTCTGCCATAATATTGGGCCTTTAAATTGGGCTATGAGTAATTTGCTCCAAATCAGGTTGATGGACATCTAATTGGGCTTCGAATTTTGGAGCTTAATGGGTTAATTTGACCGAAATTGGCCCAAATTTTAGCTGCGTGGATGGTAGGTTTTCTTGAATAACAAGTAGATACAATAAAACCCTACTTTCCCCAGAATCCCTTGTCTTTGTTTTTACCTAGAATTCTTGTCAATCGATTATTCATAGGGTGAGTAATTGATAGAACAAAACTAGCCCCTAATACACTGGAAAAGCAAAAGGGTGAATCATGGCATCCTTGTCAGCCCTGGTTGATTTGTCTTGGTTAATGGCATTGCTGCAAGAAAAACCAAAGTTCCATCAATCTTGCCCATGTCAACCAAGCACAACGCAACAATCTTTCTTCTGCAAAGATTGCATGCTGGGTTTTTTGTTTTGTGAAAGTTGCAAGAACTACTCTCTTGATCATCGAGATCACCAAGTTCTTCAAGTAAGTAGTTTCCCCACCTTTAGAACTGTATTCTTTGATTTTTAATGATTCGATAATTATTCGTTTTTGTTTCCTTTTCAGGTGTTTAAATTTGTGTATCAACGATTAGGAATTAGGGTTTCAGTAATACAAGATTTGTTCTACTTATCTGATATCGAATATGATAATATCGAGAATTATGGTTGGATTGTTTACATTGATAGAAAGATACAAGAAAAACAGCATGGAAGTAGTGGAAGTAGTAATAGTAGTAAGAGTGGCTACAAAGGTAGAAAAGAGTGTGAAGTATGTGAATGTGAATTACAAAGTTCAACATCAAAGTATTGCTCAATCGAATGCAAGGTATGAATCATTCCCTTATATTTACTTGTATTCATATTTCTCTTTACTGTATTTCCTTTTTTCAATTGGATTCTTTTGTAGGTTGAGAAACAGACCAATTCGATTATTACTTCCTATGATGAATAAGCTGCAGGTGGAACTTCTAAACAAGAAACAGATGAAAAAACCCAAGAGCACCATCACCACCAAAGTTTCCTTTTTCCTAGATTTTCCATAGTTTTCTGCAACTATGCCAAGTTCATCTATTCAAGGAATAATGTATTGAAGGGATTTTACATTCTTTCAATGGTTGGGAAAAGAGTACTTTAACTATGTTTCTCTCCCCCACTCTTTATAATTTTCTTCTCAAGATTACACTTGCTCTAATCTCAACATGCTACAAGGTATATGTAGAGATTTTTTTTCAATGCATAATACTCAAACTATTTTTTATTAAATAGGTTAACAAATAAATAATGTGTGTAATATATAACCTTATCTATATTTTTATTAAATTAATGTTATGTAATTTTTTCTCTAATCTCCCTTTTTTGCATTAAAATAAAAACATTATATTTCAAGTCCATCATTTTCTATTCCTAATAAAAAAATTACTTCTTTTTTATTTCACTTCTAACTTCCTTCTTAAAAAAAAAATGAAAAACTATAATGGGTTTAAGTTTTGACTATTAGGGAAGAATAGTTATAAGGCCCATTAAAAGCTTTCTCTTTTCTTTTCTTCAAACAGAGGAAGGCTTTCAAATAATGGAGGATAAAAAGTAAGTGATTACTTTTAAATTGGAATTAATTTAAAAATAATGATTTAGGGTTTAGGGTTGCAAATGCATGCAAAAATTTAATTTTATATGTTAATGATTACTAGAGATATCACAATTCTGAATACAAAACCAATACGAAAAACCCTAAATCATCTATGTCAAATAAAGATTTATTTGACAATCATTAAATCTGCTATTATAAAAGAGACCTTTACACGTAAGATTCAACAAAATGAGTGACGAAGTCAAAATTTCATCTTTGAAGAAACAAACAAGATGTTAGTCGAATGTGATAGTGGAGTTGAGAATAATTCTATTATAATAGATTTTATTTTAACCTATAAGTTACTAAAATTAATTATTGAGTAAGTGCTGTAGGAACGTCTCACTAGACCAAAAAGTTATTGTAGAAGTAATACTATAAGATTCTAAAACTTTTGGTGTATATGTGTGTGTATGTATTTATTCTTTTATATGGAAATTGAGAATAAATTTTGTACCACCCGATTAACAATTATAGTAAATGATATGATATGATAAAGAAAATAGATGACAAGAAAAAAATAGTTGAACAAGGATGACGTACAGAACCAAAATGAGAAGCTATGAATCATATCCATGTCGATTAAGGATTATTCGACAAATTAAAAACATAGTTTACTTATAAATGAAGGTATTTAAAAAGTTATGCCTTTTAAGTGTGTTATTCACTAAATTCATAGCTAAAAAAATCCTAATGAACAAACCAACAATATATTATTGAGAGTTTTATGACAAGTTCTTTATAAGCACCTAAAATTAGATATTTGTCAAATTTAGATTTAAAATATATACTACGAAGTCGGGTTGTCAAAACACGGACAAACCATGCATATTGGGCCTTTAATTTGGGTTGTGAAAAATAAGTAAATGGGCTTTGAATGTTGGGTCTTAGTGGGTTGGATTGGGTTAAGTTGGCCCAAATGTTTATTGTGGATTTCATGTCTTTTATCATTTCTTTTGTTTTAAACATAATATCTTAGAAAACTTTTAAATTATTCAAAAAAAAATTAAATAAGTTGTTATTTTTTATTACATTCAATTCAGTTTTTTTATTTTTATTTTAAGTCAAATGAATTTTTATAACTAATAATTAATTTTGTTAAAATACCACGTACTGATGTGACATATTGACATATATCAATAGATGATGATGTGGCATATTACTGTTATATGATAACACAAATATGTAACATTTTTACCTTTTTTACTTTTTTTCCCTTCCAAATTTCAAGGGTTTTTTGAATTTTTAATAAAATAATCATAAATAATTTATTCTTTCTTTTAAGTTTTCCTTTTATTTCATCACTATATGTTTCCTTTTTATTTTTTAAGTTTTTAAATGTTAAATAAAAAATATTTTCATTTTTATTCAATTAAATTAGATTGTGATATTATTTATATTTTAAGTTGATAAAGATTGAATAAAACAATATTTTCATTATTATTTAATTTAATTAGATTATGATATTTTTAGATATTTTTTAGAGTAATTATGACTTTTTATATATGTAAATAATAGGTGAGTAATGGTAATAAATAAAAATGAACTAACAATGAATTTTGAAAGAAAGGAACCAAAAGAATACTTTAGAAGTGTATTGAAAGAAGTTTTTGTATTTTATCATATATTTTTAGGGTTTCAATCAATTCTACATGTCATGGGTCTCATATCAAATGGGATGCGTTTTGGACTTATAAGTAAAAGCCTTTTTTCACTTAATAAATATGTTTTTTGAATTGAAAAATGTGAGCTCACGATAAGCAGTATCAAAATCTATCCCTCTTCATTGATGTGAAATTCCCATGAAAAATACTAGAGTTGAGGTAGGCTCGAACCAAAGTGAATCTCTCTTCTATATATATGTATAAAAGAGTCATTGATATGAGACCCCTATGAAAGATATTGAGAAATGTCAAGGTAGGTCCATACCAAAGAGTAAATCTCTCTCCTTTTTATGTAAAAGAGTCACTGATGTGAGACCTTTTTTTTCGACCAATATGATGCTTAGTAAAACTATAGATTTGCCCACTATAAACCTAAAATTTTGGCATTAAAATGAAAAAAGGAGAATGATATGAAAGGATGCATTATTAAAAAAAGGAAAAATACTTAAATCTTTTTCATGAAATATATACTTAAAAACTTGGATTTTAATATGAAAGTTAATTTAACTTTTCGTAAAATTTATTTTCGTTTCATTTTCCTTTTTTGCCCAAGTTTATATTTTGCTTCTTAAAAAATTATTAAATACAAATATAAAAATCATATTTGATTAAAAATTGAATAAATATATAAAAATATAACATCAAGTGTAATTTAATATATATATAAATAAAATCAATTAAGATTCTTGTGCAATGTCAACCAAAGAGCCTCTTAGGTGATGATTTTCCATATATAGCTTAGATAGGTATGAAAAGAGAAAGGTCAAAATACTTGGGAAGTACCCCTATTAGGGTATTTTTTTTAATTTAGTCCATCTACTCAAAATCGTAATATTTTAATTTTTTAATTTTTAGAATTACTTCAGTTTAATCTCTTTAACATTTTTCATCCAAATTGACCATTATCGTACTGACGTGGCGTCAGATGCTAACGTGGCATATAAAGGGGTTTTGGGTGCTGATGTAGTAGTGTCGCGTCATCCTGGCATGCTGATGTGGCATGTTAAGAGGTTGCCATGAGGCACTTTTATATGTTGACACGTGACAATTTATTTTTCTAAAAATGCACTTGTTAAGAATTGAACCCAGAACCTCTAATAAATAAAACAATGTCTTTATCATCACACTAAACTCTTACTTCTAATAATATCTTGCTTGAATTTTTTTTCTTCTTTCTTCTTTTTTTTTTCTTATTTTTGTCTTTCTTTTCATAAAACTACACCATTTTGGAGCCTTCTTATACTCTAAAAGACCATAACTATAAAAATCCTTTGGAAACTTCTTCTTAAACTACGTAGTTTTATAAGAAAATGACAAAAAAAGGAAGAAAGTTCCAAAACGATGTAATTTTATAGAAAGAAAGAAAAAAGTAAGGAAGCAAAAGAGAGAAGAAAAGAATATTAGAAATTCAAGCAAGATATTATTAAATGTAAAAGTTTAAGTGTGATGGTAAAGATATTGGTTTATTTGTTAGAGGTCCAGGGGTTCAAATCTTAACAAGTGCTTCTTTTGAAGAATAAATTGTCACGTGTCAACATATAAGAGTTCCATTTGGCAATTCATATCCATAAGATGATGTGATAGTGCCATATCATCGACCCAACCTTGAAGTGTAATATGGCAATGCCATGTCATGCTTGGCATGTTGATGTGACACTATATATCAACATCCAAAACCTTTTTATATGCCATATCAGTATTTGGTGTCACATCAATGCCATGTCAGTAACAATCAATTTGGATTAAAAATATTAAACATTTAGTGTCACATCAGTGCCATGTCAGCACTGTAATAGTCAATTTGGACTAAATATATTAAGAGGATTAAATTGAAATAATTTTTAAAATTAAAAAATTAAAATATTACGATTTTAAGTAAAGAGACTAAATTTTAAAAAATACACTAATACATAAACTTTTCAAATATTTTACCTAAATTTATATTTTGTTTCTTAAAAAATTAATAAACATAAATATAAAACTCATATTTGATTAAAAATAGAATATATATATATATATATATATAATCAATTAAGAATCTTGTGCAACTGTCAACCAAAGATCCTCTTAGGTGATTATTTTCCACATATAGCTTAGATAGGTACGAAAAGAGAAACATTCTTGTACCAATATGTAATTTACCAACCACGTTGGGAAACTTTTGGGTGGCATTATTGAAATAAAGTCAAGCATGAATGGCGAACTTTGTCGTACCACATGCAATGAGTAACCACGTAGGAAACTTTGGGTGGACGTGCAAATTCGAAACTAATAAAGATAAAGAGATGTTTTTGCCCATCGAGATTTCCTTCCAATCTTTTCTTATTTTATTTTATTTCTTTAATATAAAAAAGATTTATTAATATAATATTTAATAAAGGTAGAGAGGAAGACAAAAGGAAAAAGAGAAAGAGGAGATCAAGAGAGGATATAAGATCGAAAGAAAAGTAAGGAGAGAAAAGAAAAAAAAGAGTGAGATGTGAATAGTAAATGCAAAAAAAGTAGGGCATTTCCTGTCTTGGTCGTGATATAAATTCGTGCATCTATTAAGCTACATGGTTTATAGTGATAAGCTTTGTTTTTTTTTTTTAATTAAAAAAAAAGATTCAAATTCTATTTTTTTAACTAAAGAGATCGTGTATCAAGTAATGAGTCGGCCGC